AGACTGTAGTAAGAGATAAAGAGGGACACTATATCAAACTTAAAAGATCTATCCAACAAGAGAATCTAACAAACATGAATATTTATGCCCCAAATGCGGGAGCGGCCAAGTATATCAATCAATTAATAACCAAAGTTAAGACATACTTAGATAATCATACACTTATACTTGGAGACTTGAATACGGTGCTTTCTACAATTGATAGATATTCTAAACACAACATATAAAAGAAACAAGAGCATTGAATGATACACTGGACCAGATGGATTTCACAGATTTTGACAGAACTTTACATCCAAATGCAACTGAATACACATTCTTCTCAAGTACACATGGATTGTACCCTGCATATTTTCAGACTATAATGCTTTGAAACGAGAACTAACCCACAAGAAGAAGTTTGGAAGGAATTCAAACAGGTGGAGGTTAAAGACCATCCTGCTAAAAGATGAAAGGGTCAACCAGGAAATTAGAGAAGAATTAAAAAGATCCATGGAAATTAATGAGAATGAAGATACAACCGTTCAAAATCTTGGGGATACAGCAAAAGCAGCCCTGAGAGAGAAATACATTGCAATACAAGCATCCATCCAAAAACTGGAAAGAACTGAAATACAAAAGCTAACTTGCACCTAAAAGAGTTGGAGAAGGAACATCAAATGAAACCTTCACTCACCAGAAGAAGATAGTTAATAAAGATTCAAGCAGAACTCAATGAAATAGAGACCAGAAGAGCTGTGGAACAGATCAACAAAACCAGGAGTTGGTTCTTTCAAAGAATTAATAAGATAGATACACCATTAGCCAGCCTTATTAAAAAGAAGAGAGAAAAGACTCAAATTAATAAAATCATGAATGAGAAAGGAGAGATCACCACTAATACCAAGGAAATAGAAACGATCTTAAAAACTTATTATGATCAGCTATACACCAATAAATTAGGAAATCTAGAAGAAATGGACACATTTCTGGAAAACCACAAACTACCAAAACTGAAACAGGAAGAAATAGAAAACCTGAACAGGCCAATAACCAGGGAGGACACTGAAGCACTCAACAAAAACCTCCCAAGACACAAAAGTCCAGGGCCAGATGGCTTCCCAGGTGAATTCTATTAAACGTTTCAAGAAGAAACCATACCTATTCTACTAAAGCTGTTCGGAAAGATAAAAGAGATGGAGTACTTCCAAACTCATTCTATGAGGCCAGCATCACCTTAATTCCAAAACCAGACAAAGACCCCACCAAAAAGGAGAATGAGAGACCAATATCCCTGATGAACACAGATGCAAGAACTCTCAACAGATACTAGCCAATAGGATCCAACAGTACATTAAGAAGATTATTCACCATGACCGAGTGGAATGTATCCCCAGGATGCAAGGCTGGTTCAACACTCGTAAAGCAATAAATGTGATAGATCATATCAACAAGAGAAAAAACAAGAACCATATGAACCTCTCATTAGATGCAGAGAAAGCATTTGACAAAATACAGCATCCATTCCTGATCAAAACTCATCAGAGTGTAGGGATAGAAGAAACATTCCACAACATCTTAAAAGCCATGTACGAAAAGCCCACAGCAAATATCATTCTCAATGGGGAAACACTGGGAGCCTTTCCCCTAAGATCAGGAACAAGACTAGGAATGCCAATCTCACCACTACTATTCAACATAGTACTAGAAATCCTAGCCTCAGCAACCAGGCAACAAAAAGAAATAAAAGACATTCAAATTTGCAAAGAAGAAGTTAAACTCTCCCTCTTCGCACAAGACATGATACTGTCCATTGAAAACCCAAAAGCCTCCACCCCAAGATTGCTAGAACTCATACAGCAATTCGTCAGTGTGGCAGGATAAAAAAATCAGTGCCCAGAAATCAGTGGCATTTCTCTACACTAACAATGAGACTGAAGAAAGAGAAATTAAGGAGTCAATCCCATTTACAATTTCATCCCAAAGCATAAGATACCTAGGGATAAACCTAACCAAAGAGGTAAAGGATCTATACCCTAAAAACTACAGAACACTTCTGAAAGAAATTGAGGAAGACACAAAGAGATGGAAAAAATATTCCATGCCTATGGATTGGAAGAATTAATATTGTGACAATGTCAATGGTACCCAGGGCAATTTACACATTTAATGCAATCCCTAGCAAAATACCATGGACTTTCTTCAGAGAGTTGGAACAAATCATCTTAAGATTCGTGTGGAATCAGAAAAGACCCCGAAAAGCCAGGGGAATATTAAAAAAGATAACCATAGATGGGGGCATCACAATGCCAGATTTCAGATTGTACTAGAAAGTTGTGGTCATCAGGACAGTTTGGTACTGCACCAAAACAGGCACATAGATCAATGGAACAGAATAGAGAACCCAGAAGTGGACCCTGAACTTTATGGTCAACTTATAATTGACAAAGCAGGAAACACTATCCACTGGAAAAAGGACAGTCTCTTCAATAAATGGTGCTGGGAAAATTGGACATCCACATGCAGAAGAATGAAATTAGACCATTCTCTTATACCATACACAAAGATAAACTCAAAATGGATGAAAGATCTAAATGTGAGACAAGATTCCATCAAAATCCTAGAGGAGAACACAGGCAACACCCGTTTTGAATTTGGCCACAGCTACTTCTTGCAAGATACATCTATTAAGGCAAGGGAAACAAAAGCAAAATGAACTACTGGGATTTCATGAAGATAATAAGCTTTTGCACAGCAAAAGAAACCGTCAACATAACTGCAAGACAAACTACAGAATGGGAGAAGATATTTGCAAACGACCTATCAGATAAAGGGCTAGTATCCAAGATCTATAAAAAACTTATTAAACTCAACACCCAAGAAAGAAAAAACCCAATCAAGAAATGGAAAGAAGACATGAACAGAAATTTCTCAGAGGAAGACATAGACACGGCCAACAAGCACATGAGAAAATGTTCCGCATCACTGGCCATCAGGGAAATACAAATCAAAACCACAATGAGGTACCACCTCACATCAGTGAGAATGGTGAAAGTTAACAAGACAGGAAACAACAAATGTTGGAGAGGATGTAGAGAAAGGGGAACCCTCTTGCACTGTTAGGGGGAATGTGAACTGGTGCAGCCCCTCTGGAAAACTCTGGAGGTTCCTCAAAGAGTTAAAAATAGAACTGCCCTACAACCCAGCAATTGCACTGCTGGGGATTTACCCCAAAGTTACAGATGCAGTGAAATGCCAGAACACCTGCACCCCAATATCTTTCACAGGAATGTCCACAGTAGACACACTGTGGAAGGAGCCTTGGTGTCCATCGAAAGATGAATGGATAAAGAAGATGTGGTCTATGTATACAATGGAATATTACTCAGCCATTAGAAATGACAAATACCCACCATTTGTTTCAACTTGGATGGAACTGAAGGGTATTATGCTGAGTGAAATAAGTCAATCGGAAAAGGAGAAACATTATATGGTCTCATTAATTTGCTGTATATAAAAATTAGTGAAAGGGAGTAAAGGGAAAGGAGAGAAAATGAGTGAAAATATCAGTGAGGGTGACAAAACATGAGGCACCTAACTCTGGGAAGCGAACAAGAGTAGTAGAAAGAGAGGTGGGTGAGGGGTTGAGGTGACTAGGTGATGGGCACTGAGGAGGGCATTTGGCAGGATGAGCACTGGGTGTTATGCCATATGTTGGCAAATTTTAAAAACTTTAAAAGAAAGCACATATGCATTGAGCATGAAGGGATGGAAAAGGCATTTCATACAAATGGTAATCAAAACAAACAAACAAACCAATCAGTATTGCTATATGTATATCAGATAAAATGAGTTTCAAACTAAAAATTGTAAGAAGAGACAAAGAGGTCATTATATAATGATAAGGGGGTTAATGCACCAAGAATATTGAGCAATTATAAATATTTTTGCACCCAGGGCAGGCCTGGTGGTGCAGCAGTTTAGTGCCGCCTGCAGCCCAGGGTGTGATCCTGGAGATCCTGGATCGATTCCCACGTTAGGCTCTCTGCATGGCCTGCTTCTCCCTCTGCCTGTGTCTCTGCCTCTCTCTCTCTCTCTCTCTCTCTCTCTCTCTGTGTGTCTCTATGAATAAATAAATAAAATCCTAAAAAATATATAAGAAAATAAAAAATAAAAAAATAAAAAATATTTATGCACCCAAATTGAAGCACCTGTTTCTGAAAATAACAGAAATATAGGATGAAATAAGTAGCAATACAACAATAGTTGGGGACTCTATTACTCAACTCTCGAAAATGGATCCATCATCCAGACAGAGAATCAATAAGGAAAAGAGTGGATTTGAACATCATAGACAAAATTGACCTAACAGACATATACAGAGCAGAATACACGTTCTTCTCAAGTCCACATGGGACATTTTCTAAGATAGATCGTATGTTAGGCTACAAATCAAATCTTAGCAGATTTAAGGAGGTTGAAATCAAACAAAGTATCTTCTCTGACCACAATGATATGAAACTAGAAATCAATAACAAGAAGAAAACTGGAAAATTCATAAGCACAAGGAAATTAAACAACATTCTCTTGAAAAATGAGTGGATCAAATAATAAGTTAAAGTGGAAATAAAAAAGTTTCTTGAGACAAATGAAAATGGAAACACAGCAAAGTATGGGATACAACATAAGCAATTCTAAGAGGTATGTTCATAATAACTAACAGCTATATTAACAAGAAATATCCCCAAAAATAGTCTAGCTGTATGCTTTATGGAACTAGAAAAAGAGGAAAAAACAAAGCCCACAGTTAGCAGAAGAAAGGAAATAATAAAATAATAGAGCAAAAATAAGTATTAAATATATAAATAACTCATACAATTCAAGAGCAAAAACAAAACAAAAAAAAAAACCTAACCCAGTTAATAGATGGGCAAAAGACCTTAATAGGCATTGTTCCAAAGATAAATGAAAGGTCAACAGGTATATGTAGTAGTCATTAGGTAAATGTAATTTTATTTTTTTTTAATAATTATTTTTTGCTTTATTCTGTTCATACGTGACAGCCCCAAACCCAACACTTGGTTTTTCTCTTTTGACTTTACTACTCTGCCACTACCTAGGTCAACAGTCTTCCTCCCAGTAGTATATATGGTTTGATCCTCATCATGCAGGTATAACACAGGTCCTCAGAGATCAGGGCTCTCCAGCACCAGGACCTCCGTCATCCCCTTTGACTGTACTCTTGGTGCTGGGGCTCTGCCCAGGTTCTGTCACCCCTGAGGTGTCCTTAGGCCAAAAACACCAAGCAGGCTACATGTTCTCTGCCAACTCTGAATAAACGTGGGGACTGCTTAGAGCCTAGGGTTGAGGGTAGTGAGGCAGGCTGTGTCTGGGTCCATTACAAAGGGATGCTGTCCTTGAGTAATGAAGTCTGCCACGGTGATACCCTCTAGACATGTCTGGAATGGGGACCCTAGGAGGAGAGACTGCGTGCCGGCCACAGGCTGCTCAGACAGGGACAAGGTGTGTACTATATCCTTGCATTTGGAGATTCTTCTGCTTCCCAGGCTGCATTGTCTCACACACCAGGTGGCTGAGGAGGTATTCTGAAGGCCATGAAGGTTTAAGTGGCTTCCCTAGGCTCTGGAAGGAAGAGAATAAGCCCCAAGCTAAATGGTGCTTGGGAGGACAGCTCACGCAGGCCGCGCGGGGTCTGTAAGCTCAGGCTGTGCTGGCATTAGCTCCTTATCCTCTGGAGTCCATGCTGGCATTAACTCCTTATCCTCTGGAGTCCGTTTCATCCCAGTAAAGACAGCTAGCTGGATGACTGTCAGAATGAGATGCAACTTGGGGGTAAAGACACTTTTCTGTATGTGACACAGAAATAACCTTAATCTCTAAATAAACCTGTACAAAATTTCCAGTCCAAACTAAAAAAGTTTACCTTCTATGCTACCAACAAACTGAAATGGAGTAAAAGAACAGTTTTACTTTAATCAAGTTCCAGCAAGAGGGCACACTGCTTTGGAAAAGCATCTGTCTCAGCAGAAAACGCAAGGGTGTGTGTAAAAGAATGTTTCTAGAAAATACCAAAGGCACCAAACAGAACCTTAACTTTGCCTTCCAATTCCCCTCGATGCCACTGCATACCCTGGGTGGGGAGGCTACTTCGTCCAGCTGACTTTGGGAATGTCATAATGCTCCGTAAGGGTGTCCAAGTGTCTGTTGAAGTCCTCCACTCTCTGCTTGTGGGTTTTAGATGCTTTCTTTAGGATCCTTTCCATTTGCCGCTTCTCCTGCATCTTCTCGAAGGCCGCCTGGGCCGGGGTTCGCTTGTCCAGGCCTCGCCGCTTCTCCTCCTCGTTCTTTTTGCTCGTTCCCATCGCTTCCAGGAGTTTCGCCTTGTCTTTGTCCTTCTTTTTCTTCTTCCGTTTGGTCACACCGAGCTCTGCGACGCCTTTTAGTTTCAGGGGCCCCTTCTGAACCTGCTCGTAGGCCGCCATGATGCTTGCTTTTCCCTGTAATTTTAAAACCACAGTAAGATATCACTTCAATACTGTTAAAATGACCATCATCAAAAGATAGGACATAATAGATACTGGTATGGATGTAGAGAAAAGGGAACTCTTGTGCACTGTCGGTGGGACTGCAAATTGGTAATAGCCACTATGGAAAATAGTATGGACGTTCCTCAATAGATTGAAAATAGAGACACCATACAGTCCAGAAATTCCACTTCTGGGAATACATCCAAATTGAAAGGAAACCCTAATTTAAGCAGATAGCTGCACCCCCATGTTCATAGCAGCATTATTTATAATAGCCTAGCTATGAAGACAACCTAACTATCCATTGATGGATTAATGGATAAATAATAAGTTTTGAGACACACACACACACACACACACACACACACACACACACTCACACACAATAATATGGAATATTATTCAGCTATAAAAAAACACAAATGGGCCTTGAAAGTATTATAAGTAAAATAAGCCAGACAGCAAAAGACAAATATGGTATGATCTGACTTATACATGGAATCTAAAAAGAAAAAAACACGTAGTAAAAGAGATCACACACAAAAAAAAATAAAAAAAAATAAAAAAAAAATAAAAGAGATCACACTTGTGACTATTAGAAGTGGAGGATGGGGGTAGGGAAGTCAGAAGAAGGTGGCCAAAAGGTACACTCTTCCTATTATAGGTACTAAGGATATAAAATACAAAATGATTATTATAGCTAACACTGCTGTATGGTATATAGGAAAATTTTTAGGAAAATAATTCCTGAGTTCTCATCACAAGAAAAGTTTTTTTCCCCCTTTTTTCCCCTTTCTTACTTGTATCTATATAAGAAGACAGATGCTGGATGAAACTGTTGTGGTAATCATTTCACAATATATGTAAATCAAACCATCATGCTGTATGCAATAAATATACAGTAATGTATGCCAATTATTTCTCAATAAAACTAGAAAAGTTTTAGTTTACTAAACTATTATTTGAGTAATAAAAACAATGGGTATATTGGAGTTAAAGAAGTGGGAGATAGTGTTTTTTTTTCTCAAAATTTTATTTAAATTCTAGTAAGTTAACATATAGTTTAATATTGTTTTCAAGAGTAGAATATAGTGATTAATCACTTACATATAACACCCAGGGCTCAACACAAGTCTAGTAAGTATATTGATACACATCACCTATTTAGCTCATCCCCCACCCACATGCCTTCCATCAAGTCTCCGTTTGTTCTCTGTAGTTAATCCTTTCTTATGGTTTGCCTCCCACTATTTTTTAAAAAAGATTTTATGTATTTATTTATGAGAGAGACAGAGACAGGCAGAAGGAGAAGCAGGCTCCATTCAGGGAGCCTGATGTGGGACTTGATCCCAGGACTCCAGGATCACACTTTGGGCCGAAGGCAGGTGCTAACCTGGTGATCCACCAGGGATCCCCTGGCCTCTCTTTCCCTATGTTCATCTCTTTTGTTTCTTAAGTTCTGAATGTGAGTGAAATCATATGGCATTTGTCTTTCTTTGACTAACTTATTTCACTTAGCATAATACAATCTAGCTCTATCCATGTCATTGCAAATGGCATGATTTCATTATTTTTAAAAGTTGAATAATATTTTATATGTATAATATATACCACATCTTCTTTATCCATTTATCAGTTGATGGGCATTTATGCTCTTTCCATAATTTGGCTATTGTTGATAATGCTGCTATCAACATCAGGGTGCATATGCCTCTTCAAATCATTATTTTTGTATCCTTTGGGTAAATACCTAATACTGCAATTGCTGAGTCATAGGGTAGTCCTATTTTTAACTTTGAGGAACTGAAGTGAGAGAAAGTCTTACTAGAATCCTCAAACCAGTTAGTAGTGTCTGTCAATATTTGTGATTAAATAAAATATATTAATAGGCCAAGTTTATAAAAACATACAATAATGAAAAAGAGAAGTTTCCATGCATATGCAATTATCATATTTATAAGAGAATGTTAAAATATAAGTGGATACAAGGCTAACCTTGCAGATAGAAACCCCTATAAAAGGAGTACTAGGGAAAGAAGGTCAAGAGTTATGTCATCATATGGCAGAATAAGTTTTGTACCATCTTCTCCCCCCCAAAAAAACATTGATTTAGACAGTCACCCATGAATGGCAGTCTTTTTTGGAAGTTCAGGGATCCAGCAGACAAGTATCAGCACACTATCGGAGAAAAAAAAAACTGAGATAAGACACAATGAAGAATGAATGAGAAACAATTTCACTTTACCCACATCACCCCTCCTCCAAGGTAGCACAGCTTAGAGCCAGAGAGACCTACTGGACCTGTGATTTCTTCTGTGGGCTAGAGTGAATATGTATAAATGAGCACCTAAAATCCTGAGCTGTGAAATTCTGCAAGTAGACTTGCTTCTTTCTTGCCCCATCCAGAATACTGAAATGTAGTGCATGACTAGAGAGCAGAAAGCAGGTCAGAGAATAGCAGACAAGCCTCTTAGATGTCATCAAAGAGACACAGATCTTACAAACTGCTTTGCAGATTCCATCAGAAAGTCTGACCAAAATCCACTGGGTATGCATTGCCTGCAAAATTCCACAACTGATCCATGGACATACTCAATGCTCCATGTACCTCACCCACCCACATCTCCCACCCCATAGTTGTATCCCTTTGCACAATGGTCAATGGCAGTGAGAGTGATCATTTTGAGATGGTTAATGAGCATATGTAAAAAGCATGTGTAAGTATGTGGCCTGGGAGAATTTACACAAACTTTAGTATTCAACACCATCTTAGAGAAAGCAAAAGGGGTGTTGTCAGTAACTGGCTTGCTTTTGCAGGATTGAGAGAAAGCAAACAAGCTTAAGAATTCTGACACAAGGGGAGTAAAGAAGTATGAAGCAGGAGTTTCCATAGAAAAAAAATTGAGAAAAGCATTAGAATTTGAGACAGGGCTCATGGAATATATTTCACTCCAAAAGCCAGTCAGTAAGTAGTAAGGGAGGTGAGTGCTTCTTCAAGTGTAAATATAGCAATACAAGAATTCAAACAAGAAAACTATAAGATGAACACAATTTTCTAGTAATCAAAACAAAGAAATGGACATCTGCGATTTGCTTGATAAAGAAAAAGTATTTATCTTAAGGAAACATACTGAACTACAAGAAAACACAAAGACAAATCAATAAAATCAGGACAATACATGAACAAAATAAAAAGTTAAAGAAATAGAAATCAAAAGAGCCCAGAAATTTTGGAGCTGAAGAATATAATAAAAGAAACAACAAAAATGTAATTAAGAGCATCAAAATCAGACTGGGTCCAGCAGTAGACACAATCTATGAGCAGAAGACAGGTTTTTTGAAAGTATCCAAAAGTAAAGAAAAGAAAAAAAAGAGAGAGGGAAGAAACCCTATGTAAACTATCAGATACCAGTAAAAGAAACAATCTATGCATTACTGGAGTCACATAAAGAGAAGAGTGAGAGAAAGAGGTAGAATACTTATTTAAAGAAAATGGCTGAGAATTTTCCAAATCTGAGGAGAGATTTGGACAGCCAAGTTCATGAAGATCATTGGAACCCTCTAAATATCAATCCCAAACAATCTTATCCAAGACACCTTATAAGAAAATTGTCTAACATTAAAGACAAATAAATTTAAAGATTTTAAGTAATTACTACATCCAACATGGGGCTTGAACTCACAACCCTGAGATCAAGAGTCAAATGTTCCTCCAAATGAGTCATTCAGGTCCCTCCTAGACAAAGAGAGAATTTTAAAAGTAGCAAAATAAATCTTCACACACAAGGAAAAACACATAAGGCTATCATTGTATTTTCTTCAGAAATCTTACAGACCAGGAGAAAATGAGATGCTATTTTCAAGGAACTTAAAGGGGAAAAAAAAAAAAACACCTGCCAATCAAGAATATTTTATCTTGTAAAGTTGCCTGTCAGAAATGAGGAAGATATAAAGACTTTCCCATACAATTAAAAGTTGAGAACATTCATCACCTTTAGATCTGCTTACAAGAAATGCTGGATTTTTTCACATTTCAATGAAAAAATGAAAATATACTAAGAATTAGCAAGAAAACATGAAAATATTACTCATCCACCAAAAAAAAAAAAACAGAAATCTTGCCATTTGCAATGACATGGATTGAACTAGAGAGTATTATGCTAAGCAAAATAAGTCAGTCAGAGAAAGACAAATACCATGTGATTTCACTTATATTGGAATTTATGAAATACAACAGTTATATAACCAACCTGTTAAAGGTAAGTATATAGTCCTGAAAAATACTCTAATAATGTTATATTTTAGTGTATTAACTATTTTACTCTATTATAATATAAAGGTTAAAAGATATAAATATTAAAAATGGCCACAACTATAATAATTTTTAATGGATACACAATATAAATTAAAAAAGAGGCAAGTTGTGACATCAAAAACAAAAATGTGGGGGGGGGCAGTTAAATAAGAGTATAGAGTGTTTGTATGAGAGCAAAGTTAAATTGTTATCAGCCTCAAATAAATTGTTATAAAAGGTTTTATGTAAACCACTTGGTAACAACAATATAAAAACCTACACAAAAGTTGAAGAGAAGGGAAGCAAGGCATACTCTTTTGGAAAATATTCAATTCACAAAGGAAGAGAGAGAAGGAAAAAAACACGGAACTATAAAGAACCACAATACAAAGAATGAGATAGCATTAATAAGTTCTTACCTATCGACAGTTACTTTAAATGCAAATAGATTCAATTCTATATTCAAAATGGCTGAATAGATAAAAAGCAAGACTATATGACATCTACAAGAGACACATTCCACCTTTAAAGACACACATAGACTCAACATGAAAAGATGGGGAAAAAATTCATGCAAACAAAAAACCAAAAGAGCATGGGTATCTTCACTTATGTCAGAAAAAATATATTTTAATTTAAAAACCCTAATATGGGAAAAGGCTAATGATAA